TCAACATTAGCTGGTGGTATTGGAATTAATTTAACCGGTAGTAATCGAGTTATTGTTTTTGATGCAAGTTGGAATCCGAGGTAAATATAAAAATTCAATTCGAAATTTTTCATCTCAAAAGGAAAAATAAATCTATCAGTCAATTTGGAAACGACATTCTGAAGTCATTTTACATTAAATTTTGACTTTCGATCTGCGCAAGGTCAAGCTCTATAGCTTGTTCCGTTCAGGAGTTGTTGCCGTTTTCCAAAGATCTTCGAAATCGCTCACTCTGAGTCGAGTGATAACGTTTGTTTTCAATGTCGAAGCTGCTATGTCAATGATCCATGCTAGTTTAGTTGAAGATCGTGTGGTTGATTTCAAGGATCTTGAAACAACGTCAATAACTCTTGCATGGAACAAGCTATAGAATTCAGTCATGAGTGGATGTCAAGAGAACAATTTTCTTTATCGAATAGTTATATTACAAGTCGAATTTTAATTGAAAATAGTTTTAGAATGTCATTTTAAAAATTTCCACTAAGAATCTACATGATTTGTCAATAGCTGACCAATCAAACTTTGATTTCTCGAAACAGTCCGAATGAGTTCTGACAAAATTATCAAGTCTTCAAGTTTCTTATGCAAATAACCAAGCATTGTTTTGCTGACTTTCTGTAGAATTTCGTATGGCTTTTGTATGCAAATCAGCATGATCATAAGACTCAGTTGGATTTTTGCTTAGATCTAATTCTATAGAAGATACTTACCGATAAAAAATAGTTTAATAGGTTAGTATGTCAGGGCAACTATACCAAAGACGTGTTTATTTCTCTTAATGAATTTGTTCATGAAAGATCTTTCATTACTTCTTTTTCTTGTTTACTTTAGTCATGATACTCAAGCAATATTTCGTTCATATCGTTTTGGTCAAAAGAAACCAGTTTATATCTATCGACTTTTAGCTCATGGTACAATGGAAGAAAAGATTTATCAACGACAAGTTGTCAAACAATCAATATCACAACGGTAGAAATAAAATGAAAAACATCAAACATCTCATATTATGTTTTCTTGTTTCGTTTTTCTATTCTAGTGTCGTTGATGATCATCAATTAGATCGTCATTTTACTGAAAGTGATATAAAAGAATTATATAAATTTAAACCAGAACAATTACCAGAAGCTCGATCAATATCAACACTTTTAACAGAATCAGATACAAATTTTAATTATCCAATACCAAAAGATCATCTTTTACTTGATCTTTTGTATGAACATAATCGTTGGGTACATTCATATCATTCTCATGATTCATTATTAGAAAATAAACTTGATGAAGGTCTTAGCGCTGAAGAACGACGTCGAGGTAAATTTTCTTTTGTATTTTCTTATATTTTTTCTCTATATTATTTTTTATCAAAAACTAGCTCTTGAAGAATATGAAAATTTAAAACGTTTACCTGATCAACGTCAAATAGCTTTTCAACGTTTACAACAACAACAATTAAATGCTCTTATTGCTCAGCAGCAACAATTAGCATCAGTACAAGGACGAAGACTTCCCCAGCAATATCAATATATTCAACAATTATCTTCAGATAATTGTCAACCAAACCGAAATGGTTATGGACAAAATTTAGATTTTGCACGAGCACTTCAAAGTATTTTTGATATGGGAAATACTAGAGAAGGAATAAATAATACAACGAAATCAACAACTATACGTACACAACAACCAATGATGAATCAAAATACTACAAGTGACTAAAACAAAACTTTTTATTTCTGTGACTATACCCCGAATTTCATTAAGAATTTAACAATGAAACTGTTTGAGATGACTCAAAATTTCTTTTATTTTATAACTATAAATACTATAGAAGAGAAAGAGTCTAAGAGAAGTATATGAACTACTTTCTTATTGCATTTCTGAAAGATTAAGTAAAAACATGATGAAGAATTATGTTCAGAAATACATAGAATAAAGCAATCTTTCTATGATTAGCAAGAGCAGCTACATCGTGTTTCAGATTTTGATCTTGGAGGAATTGTACTAAGAACATTTTAAGTAGAACTCAACTTTCTTAATACAATTATATTTTCGAATTTTAATTTTGAAACTTTCTCGAATTCGATATTCATCTAAACTAGCTTCTATAAAACAAATTACAGAGTTTTTATATATAGTATCATTTAGTTTTGGGTTTTTTCCATGTTCATGCTTTATAGAATATCTATGGACGAGAAGAATTCAAATTTCCTTGATGATGTATTCCAAAGATTCTACGTTTTTTTTAAAGTTCTTTCTAAAAATTTCATTCAAACTTCTATACCTCAATCAAATCGCAACATTCGTCTTATTACATTTTCTTCCTTGATTCTATTATTAAAACACTCGTCTTTCATTTCTTTTTGTATTATTTCGAAAATTTAAACTGAAATTTTATTAGAAGTTATCTATGACATACAGTATTATCCGTCGAATTGAAATCATTCATCGAATATTCGAATCAGTTTTATCTCTAACTTGCAATTTAATATTTACTTTTGATAACATTCTTCATTATCT